AAGATAAGATAAAGATGACGCAAAATCTTGGAGTTTTTTTTGGCTTTTTTTTTTTTTTTTTTTTTTTTTTTTTTTTTTTTTTTTTCCTAATCGTTCTATTTTCCTTATTTAACTTATCAACTTCTCAAAGTGACATCATACATAGATAAACCCAGAACTAGTGGTGTAACATACTTTATCTTCTGGCGGTGTTCTTTGGTTCTATCTGGGGCAATCACTTTCTTCAAGGTTGAACCCAGAACTAGTGGTGTAACATACTCTCTCTTCTCTCGGTGTTCTTTGGTTCTATCTGGGGCAATCACTTTCTTCTAGGTTGATAGTTTCCCTTGGAAAGCAAAGACTATTGAAAGAACATATAGAGCCCCATTCACTTTGCGAGTTGAAATTGTGTGGGTTTAACTATATATGAGTTTTTTATGATTAGAATTGATGTTTGATAGTGTAAGATTTAATAGAAAATAAAATTTAAACCATCCTATAATTATATTATTAAAATTATGAGTTTTAAAAAAATGTGAATGAGAATATTTAATGAGAAGTTTTAAACAGTAAATTGAATTAAAACGGAATAAAATTAAGTTCAACCTTAAATATCTAAACTCAAAATTAAGTTTAAAATATTATGCAAACTAAACAAGGATTCAAACTACATTTTGAGTTCAAACCCTATAAAACCGTCCAACTAAACAGTCTAATAAAGAGATTAGACATCTTACATCATATGAAATATTTAAAAGAAAAAAAAAAAAAGAAACACGATATTAATTTTATAACATGATATTTATTTTATGTGATATATATTTTGAGTCGTGTCTTCCGTCTCTGCATATAAAGTGTGAAAAGAAGATGTTTTTTCCCAAAACAAACCCAGCCTTTAATCAAGGCTGCCCAATTTATGGCGGCTTTCTACGTGCCTCTGATTTGGAGATCAGATGACGCTTTCAATTCTTTCATCAAAGTCCTTTCAATGCAAAGCCCACACCATCACGTAATTTGATAGAAGAAAAAAAATAAAAATAATAGAATACTCTTGGAGACTTTTCCCATGTTAATCAACCAAAGCAAAGTATGTATTCGTTGATCTAATTTTTCTGCCCCGTTTGTTCCGTAGCCATTCGCCAACTACCCACCTGCAATTGCTTCTTCAAATCTATTTTTGGGTCTTAGAAAGCAACTTTTCTTGATGAGACACAAATCTGTCTCTATTTGTGGCCTCAGTGAAAACGACTGAGATTAAGGCCCTGTTTGTTTTCGTTTTCATTTTCATTTTTCACATTTTTTTAGACTAAAAAATAAAAACGGAAACATATAATGCGTTTGGTGTAAAAATTTTTAAAAAACAAAAACAAAAACGTTTTTGTCTTTTTTGAAAAACTGAAAACGAAAAAAAAACTGTTTTCATTTTCTCGTTTTCGTTTTCTAAAAACGGATTTCATTTTTTTTTATTTTCTTCTCTCTCTTCTCCACTGCCCACCACCCCTAACTGCACCCCCCCTCCCCCCACTCCGACATCGTGATCTGGTTTGTGAACGGTTATTTTCTCCAGCGAAGAGATAAAGATAGAGAGAGACGTCGCCGAAGATTCTCTCGCTCGGTGGCTATCATCAGTCGTCGGACGCTGCCGCCGTCACTATGCCCACGGGAACACCGCCATCAACATCGACTAAAGGAGATGAAGGATGGCGGGAGAGAGAGAGAGAGAGATGCGGGAGATGAACCGCCACCCCCACTCTTGTCCAACTACCCCCCTTTTAATATTTATTTAATATATTATTATTTTAAATATTATTACATGTTTTTAAAAATTAAACTATCAAACGCAGTTTCAGTTTTTTTTAAAACTGAAATCAATCTCTGAATAAAATTACCAAACGCATTTCAGAAATAATTCCAAAATGAAAATGAAAACGTTTTCATTTCTATTTTCATACAAAAAATAAAATCATTTTGGAACCAATTCTAAACGCACCCTAATTTTTCTAGATTTGGTTTTTGAATCTTGATTGACAATAAAAACAATTAATTAGTTAAACGAGCAATTATTGGGCTCTACTTATGAAAATAGTTGTCACGAACCTTAATGTTGGTCTCGGACCTTGTTGGGGGTTGTTGTGTGGGTGGTTGAATATGTTTTATGGTTGGTACAAGGATTAAGACAGCGACAGTTGGGGTTTAATTAATCTACACTTGGCTCTTTTTTCATTCAATTTTTGAGATTTTGCACTGGCCCTACATGTCTTCTCAAATCTTATATCAGCGAACTTTGTTTTTTAGTAAATTATGGGATGTTTTTTAGATCCGCTTGTCAGTAGGATTAGTTTTTTAGTGTTAAATCTAGTTAAATTTACATTAGATTTAAAAAATAGATAAAATAAATAGTTTTTAATATAAATTTGAGAATAAAGTCTTTTTAGTAGTTTATTTTTTTAAGACCTAGTAGAAAAACTCTCATAAATTAAAGCCATGGTCTTTGAATAATTAACATTTTGAAGATTTGGTTCATAATTTTTTGAAATAAATTCATTCCAGAATTGACTATTTGTAATTTGACGCTCTTAAAATAGATAATACGTTTTTGAATTTTAACATAAGTAATCACATGGTCATCAAAATTATCACGTAACTTTACATGATATTATACCTCCCTTTATAGAAATAATTACTGAATTTACTCTTTAAAGTGTATAAGTCTTAATTTCTATCATTCACTTTTGATTAATACTAGTAACTCTTAAAAGTGTATAAGTTTTAATTTTTACCTCTTACTCTTGATTAATACCCTTCTGAGTAATATAATTATTTGTTAAAAGAAATATTAATTAAGAATAAGAAATAAAAATCTAAACTCATACGTTCTAAAAGAGTATTTGTCCCATTTCTCCTTATCTATGTTAATATTGTCAAATTAGAGACTAACTTGCCAATAAAAATAAATTCATAAACTAATCTACTTACGAAAATTTAGAGACGAATCTTTCACTATCCCAATAGTTAAGGGACTAATGGTGCAAAAAGGAAAAAAATAAAAAATAAAAAAAAAACCCTAAAATCAAATCTAATACTAATTTAATGAAATCTGATTGATTTTTTTTTTTAAAGCATATTGCCTAAGGGAGAATTTTTTTCGTGTTTTTTTTTTTTTTAACTCTACCGAAAAATTTTTCTCCCGTTCTTCCTAAGAGAAATATGTTCTATGACGTGCCTTTTCCCGTTAATTTTACTCTTAAAAGAAAAACAAATTAGAAATAAAAGAATTACTGCATTATCTCAGATGGACCACGTCATTAAAGTTAAAATCGAGTAAAAATGTTAAACATTTGTTTTTTTTTTTTCTTTTTTTTTTGCTAATAAAAAATGTTAAGCATTTTCCTTAATTGACAGGTTGTGGAGTCAAACTAGCATGTGCGGGATATGCAGTGTTTGGGATTGACTACGAGGGCCACGGGAGGTCAAGAGGGGCCAGATGTTACATCAAGAAATTTGACAACATCATTGCCGATTGCTATGACTTTTTCAAGTCGATCTGTGGTATATATGCATGACCATGATCTATTCCTTTTCGAGTCAATTTAACCGAAACTATCAACCTTTATGTGGGTAGATATATTCAAAATTCAAATTATGATTTAATGTTTTTTTTTTACAAAAAATTTAAATCAAAAAAATTCTCGTTAATAGTTCTCTTATATAAAATTTAAATTAAAACACAAATAATAATTTAAATACACTTTTCAAACGAGCCCATAACAATTCAAATATGTGCCTGCAATGTAGTTTTTTTTTTTCATACTATCAACGAATTATTCTCAAAATTTTTTTTTTTTTTTTGGTTGAAATGGTGGGCAGTGCAGGAAGAGTACAGGGACAAGAGAAGGTTCTTGTATGGGGAGTCCATGGGAGGGGCAGTGTCCCTTTTGCTTCACAATAAGGACCCTTATTTTTGGAATGGTGCTGTTCTTGTTGCACCCATGTGTAAGGTTGGCATCTTCTACAATATTATATTCACGCTTTCGCTAGAAGTTGAATTCAGTTTGCCCTTTTTTTTTTTTTTTTTAAATCCGTTTAGTTTGGTGATTCGAGTTTTTAATTTGAGTTCAGATGTAATTTTATGTGAGTGCTTTTTACTGTAGCAAAAAAATTAAATGTGATTGTTTTTAAAAACTTTTTATTATAGCAAAACTCAAATCAACGAAATAAACGGGTCTTATTTTGCTTTGACAATTAGAGAACCCAATTAATATGTGCAACTAAATGGAGTACAAATTGACAGTTTTGACAAGACTCATGAGGGAGAAAAAAATAATGGCGCTGCTGAATTGGGTTGTCATTTTGATAGCCAGTCTTAATCGCTAGTGAGGCTCAAATTTTTGTAGTCCGTAAAGTTAATGAAATATAATCTATTACTGTCCGAGGATTTTTTATTTTTATTTTTTAAATGGAGTGGAACCTATGGCTTCTATTATGTTAAGAACCTTAGATTACATACTCACGTATTTATGCACTCAACTACTTGAATTAGCCTTCGGAAAAATGGTAATTATGAGCTTAAATCTGTATTTATAACTTATATCCTTGCATGTTTTGTTAGATATCAGAGAAGGTGAAGCCACACCCTTTGGTTGTGAATCTACTGACCAGAGTGGAAGAGCTTATTCCAAAATGGAAGATAGTTCCCACTAAGGACGTCATTGATTCAGCCTTCAAAGACCCCGTGAAGCGTGAAGAGGTGAAAGAAGAAATTCTAGTTTCTCAATCTGTAGCAACTCATCAAATAGACGTGTAAATTAGTTCTAATACCAGTGTGTTGTTTCCTCAACAATGGATGCAGATAAGGCACAACAAACTCATATACCAAGACAAGCCTAGATTGAAAACGGCACTAGAAATGCTCCGAACGAGCATGAGCCTTGAAGACAGTTTACACGAGGTAGGGATTGCTTTCGCAGCTCCTAAAAGTGATTATCAGAGAATATCAGCAACAATTATAATTTGATAAACCTGCTTTTAGTTGGATTATTGCATATTTCGAAAAATCGAACCACTTCTGGCAACAGTTTCACGAAGCTAAAAGCTCTAGCTTCTAGCTTTTAGCTTCTCCTGTCAGAAGAAATAGGATAAAACATTATTTAAGAAGCGCAACAATACTAAACCGGCGCTTCCTACATCGCAATCCCTCTTAACAAACATTACTAAACCTATGAATTTAAGCTCACTTGGTAGTCAAATTAAGTTCTCTTTTGACTCCTTTGCTCAGGTGACGCTTCCGTTTTTTGTATTGCATGGGGAAGCAGACACCGTAACCGACCCTGAAGTGAGCATAGCACTGTACGAGAAAGCTGGCAGCAGAGACAAGACCATAAAGCTATACCCTGGAATGTGGCATGGTTTGACGTCTGGTGAGCCAGACGAGAACATCGAGATCGTTTTCGCAGACATCATAGCTTGGCTTGATAAGCACACCGAGATTGGGGATAGTGTTAGTAGTGTGCAACGTCCGACTCATGCATTCGACAATGGGGTTGTGAGGCTCGTGACCTCCGCAGCATCTCAAGAAAATGCTAGGAAGAAGCAGGAGCCGCGGAGGACGAAATCTTACGGGAGGTACTTTTGTGGATTGAGAGGCCTTCGCTTGCAGCATCACTCTGCTATGTAGCGGTAGCTCCGTGTTGGGCATATTAGGGGCTGAAATAACTCTGGTTTATGATCTATATATGTGCTGTAGATAGTGGACTTGAATTGTCTTTCATATGGTAAATGTATCATGATGTCAGGGGTCTCCTATCTTAATGGGATCTATATCAGATGAGTGCAGTTCAAAGTAGTAAATGTCATCTTGAACCACATGCAAAAGAACTTTGGACAACAAACACAAGAAAACGAGGTTAGCATTGCTTATATAATCTTCTATTTTGCTTTGACTATCACTCAGTAGTTATTACAGCGAGGCAAATCGCACACAAGAAATCGTTTTTCCACACCGAAAGTTCTTTCTTGCATAACAAGAAAAGAAGACCCAAAAACAAAGGTAAGTCCAAATTTAGAGCTCAAGTAATCAATATACCTTTTCATTTTCTTTTCTTTTATTCCCTTCAGCAAACTTCCTCAACTACTAAACAATGTTTACTCGATTAGTTAATGGAACTCAAATTGTATCCCCACGTCTTTGTTCACAAGCCAAAGTAATCACCGCTATACAGTAAGAAAAATGTGCAAGCTAAACACCATAGCCATAGCAAGTAATTTTAAGAATAGAAAAGCTCACTGTCTATTTGAAAGCTTAGAGAGGATAACCGACACAAAGTCACAAAGATGGGGAGGTAAAACAAGATGCCAAGTGGGATACCTAAGGATCTACTTCAATGAGACCAACAATACGCTTGCTGCTGCTACTTCTGCTGATACTGTATCGTTTGGAAGCAGGGAAAAGCTAGTGTATTCCTTTTTTTTTTTTTTTTTTACTTTTCTTTTTTTGCAAGTAAACAATTCTCGTCCCTCGGTACCACTTTCAAAGTATAGTCCCTTAAACTTGGGATTATGCAGTATTGGAAGAACCACCTTCCTTGTGGTCGCCAAAAATGCGTTGCCTGAAGTCTTTGACCATTAGAGGGAGTCCCTTGCGTAGGGATACCTTTGGTTGCCAGCCCAGAAGTTCCTTAGCCCTTGTAATATCAGGTTTCCTTTTGTGGGGGTCATCCTCTGTGTTGGGCTTGTACTCTATCTTCGCATCTGGGTCAATTGTTTCCTGGACAACCTGCCGGAACGAGAATTCATATTGATATACCACGTCTATATAAGTTTAAGCCTAATTTACATGTAAAAATATTATAGGTGAATAAATTGGACTTCATACGTGGTTCGCAGCATAATTTATACACAGAATGCGCGTAGAAGGTTCAGAGCTCAAGTTTCCACAAATAAGAAGTCGCGAAATTTAAAACATAAATGCTAAAGTTTTCCTGTTTAAAGCTAATTGAACAACACAAGACAATATGATCCTTCGTTAAGAACTTTAGGCAGACGTTGAACTGCTAAAAGTGTGGAATCCGTTAAGAGAAAAGCGAAACAACAGCGAGGTTTATCCAATAGCTGACATAGTACTACTAGTACCTTATCAGTTGCTTATTTAGTTCTAATATGATCACTAACTGACATTATGTTATATGGACTTAGATCTATGTTTTTAAGCAAATTCAAATGAAAAATATACACAGGATGAAAAATGATGGTTATATCATTTACTAAACAAAGAAAATAAACCAAAAGACCCCGAAATAATCAAAGGCGGTCCAGAAGAGTAATATGCTTACCTTGGCAAGTTCAAGCATGGTGAATTCACCGGGGTTCCCAAGATTGAAAGGTCCTACATGTTCTCCTTCCATGAGGCGCATAAGACCCTCCACCTATTAAGCAAATAATATAGACTTTAATAACATGCAGCAAGACAACTAAAATAAGACAGAAGATCAACATTTATAATTTACTTTCAGTGGAATAAAGAATTCAATCTTCCCATGGACAATAACGAGCGCGTACACACACACACACACATATATATTGTGTGTGTGTGTGTGTTTCTAGAGAGAGAGAGAGATCCCTGGTCCCCCCTCCTTCCAATGGACCATGACACAGATAACTCAACACAATGTACCAAACAATGAATATGTATATTTTTCGACATAGAGTCTACACAAATGGCCAATCCTACCCTCTAGAGCACCTAGGTAACAGCAGAGGCTATCTGCTGCTCCTCAGCATCACATTGAAGGACCATTTATTTTCAGCTCTTACTTTGGATTTTTCCCAGTTTTTTTTTTTAATTTCTTAATTTATTGAAGAAAAGATTCAATTATTGAAAGGGACTTTAATTTCTCACTAGTTCAGAACAACTTTCAAGGCATACCAAACTACGTGGCATGTACCAACCAAAGGTACAATTAAGATAGCTGGTCCCTTGTACGCCTTTCCTCTGTGTTGGCACTAGCCACGTGAAACATGCAACTCTGTGAATACTCTCTACATGAATAAATTTATAAAGGCAATGGGACCGATCCACCGTAAAAAAATTCAGAGCATTCACCACGCCGAATAACGCAGTTTTTAGGAACTGACATAGATTGTAAACGTGCTAGGCACATGGGAAGAATATTATGCAATATGGTCTCAGAAAGAAACCCCGACTACTACACTAGCGTCAAGTTTTTGGCACTATTCACCATCAGCAGCCAGTGAAATTCTTGATCTCCAAGCTAGGAATTTTATATTTTTCTCTAATTTTATAACAAAATATAAAAGCAATTTGTTTTTTTTTTCTTGAAAGGAAAAAGAATAAACAATAAACAATAGAGTCTCTAGCCAGGCACCACAAAACAAAAGAAGAAAAAACAATTCGTTTGAAAAGGTCTTTGAGAAAAAGAAGATATAAAAGTTCTAATGACTTGCCAGATCAGAAACATATTGGAAACTCCTTGTCTGCTTCCCATCACCATAAACAGTCAGAGGCACTTTCCTCAATGCCTGCAAAGTCGCCACTAATTAGTGTTTAATTAATCATTAAAATAAAGGTACTGGTCTTTAAGTATTCAATAAGGGGATTATATAATTGTTAATAGTGTACCTGGGCAACAAAGTTACTAACAACACGGCCATCATCTATGCACATTCTTGGCCCATAAGTGTTGAAGATCCTGGCAATCCTAACCTGCATCCAATGAGAAAGGAAAACGTAAATACATTTCTTTTTTCAAAAAGGACCCTTCTTACATGCATGTGAAGATATTGACAGTTTGACGCACGATCCAGGTTGGGTCCAGACAAACGCTGTCAATCTCACAATCATGTCTAGTACTAGAATTCTCATTTCCAATAACGTGATCAATAAAATAAGAACACTTATCTTAAATGCCATTAATTTCTCACCAGCTCAATCATATTTAGTTCAACAAAAAGAATTGATTTAAAATATTTATATACTAGGAACCATATACTTGTCACCAGTACATTGCATTTGATTGGGATGGAAAAATAGTTTCATGATACAACAAAGAATTAAAATATAACTTGTCACCAGTAATTACAATTCTAGGAATTCTATAAGATTATAACGCGTATCAAATGTTGTTAAACATAACAAATATAAGGCTATAAGAAAGAAAGGAAAAAAAAAAACAAAAAAAAAACAAAAAAAACAAAAGACAAAATAATATAATGTTGAGAAAACAATAAACATTTTTTTTCTATAATGGGAAGAGATTAAAATGCTAACCTCAACGCCAGCACCTCTATGGTAGTCCATGGTCAACGTTTCGGCCGTACGCTTTCCCTCGTCGTAACAACTTCGGACACCTGGCATCAATTCAATAATTCCAACCAAACTCTATCAGTTAACCCCCCCTGTACTCTGCTTCTCAGCTCTGCACAAACGCTGAAACTCACGCGAACTACCAAAAATTACAAAAAATACACGTGTTCTATTCCATTCTAATTTTCCACTCGAACATAATTCAAATTTCAAAGGAACGCATCACTACGAAATGGTATTTTGACTATTCGCTAAACGTGTGTGTCGACCGTCCGATTCGTGGACCCGATAATCACGGTTTCCTCGTTGACCGAGACAATGCGTCCGGATCTAAGGAGTTGGTCGCGTGGCCCCCGCCATGGTGGGCCCACGTGGGAGAAAACAAAGTCCCATAAACACAGTGGATCTCCTCCGCCTCCGGCCCCGGCGCACGTTATACGGGGACAGTAACGACTCGCTAACGTACACTGGTTTCACCAAACCAGTCCGCCATAGACGACGGGAAAAAGTAAAAAAGAGAAACAAACAAAAAACGGACATAGAGAAACGAAACGCACCAATTGGATTGACGTTTCCCCAGTAGGTCTCCACCTGAGGGTGTTGCAGAGGATCACCGTACACCTCACTCGTACTGGTCAACAGAAACCGAGCGCCCACTCGCTTGGCAAGCCCAAGCATGTTCAAAGTCCCTACTACATTGGTCTTGTGCAATTCCAGAAAAACTCAGGAATTAAGGAATTTCAATTTGAATAAGCAAATATAAATCGTATATAAAAAAGAAGATAAAGAAGAAGAGAAGCAATTGTATATAATGAAAAGGATATAATGGTCTTGACGGGGTTGAACTTGTAGTGAACAGGGGAGGCGGGGCATGCGAGGTGGTAGATCTGGTCGACCTCGAGGAGGAGAGGCTCGACGACGTCGTGCCGGATGAGCTCGAACCTAGGGTTTCCGAAGTGTTGCATCACGTTCTCCTTCCTTCCGGTGAAGAAATTGTCGACGACGATCACGCTGTCGCCGCGTTCGATCAGACGGTCGACCAGGTGGGACCCGACGAAGCCGGCCCCACCAGTGACGACGATCCGGAGGCCCTTCCTCTTAAGCCCCAAAGGAATCTTCCCTCCGGAGTTCCAGTTCTGAATCCCGAAGCGGCGTTCGTAGTGGGGACGGTGGTGAGAGAGGTGGGAGGAGGTCTCGATCTCCGGCAAGGAGTTAAAGATAGGAGCGTAGCGGGGAGGGCGGGAGGGCGGGAGGAGGGTGAAGCCGAGGGTGGCGATGGCAATGCCGACGAGGACGAAGACGAGGCGCTGCTCGCGGAGGATGTAGCGAATCGGCCGTGCCACGGCGAACCACGGCTTCAGCGGCTTTGGGGAGGAGGGGGCGGCCCCCGGCCGGGGGCCCGC